TGCAGGAGGCCATCGCTTCTTGGCCTTTTGGCTAAGATCAAGTGTAGTATCTGTTCTTATCAGAGGAGGCGGGAAGCAAAGAAAGATGGCGACGTCGTCGGCCAGTTTTTCTGAGAGGGATGCATGGACCTTTGGAACAAGAAATACGCTGAGATTTGAACTCATGGAGAAAGACACACAACTTCACGACAGAATAACTTTTGGACGGAGAATCCTCTTCGAAGCCTTGAAGATACAGCCGGAGAAAATATTCTGCCTACAACAGAGCACCGCAACTAAGCACTATGATGTGACATTCTCTACGGGAGAATACGCGGAAGAAGTGAGAAGGAAGAGCATTGTGGAAGAAGGTAAAGAACTGCGGAGATATATGGTGACCCCTTTGTATCGTAATGATTACAGAATTTTAACGATACATATGTATAACCCATGGGTCATGGAAGAGACTATCAGGTACTTTCTAGGGAGATACGTTACTGTTCTCAAAGGAGTACGAAAGATAAAGGACGGTCTGGGCATATGGACCGGAAAGAGACAATTTTGCATCAAATTGAGTGCGGATATGAACAGTGAAGATGGATATTGCCACCCACCTGCAGTCTTTTCTATTGGAGCAGACAGAGGCTTCCTTGTTTACGCAGGGCAGCCCCAAGCATGTAGGAAATGCGGGAGTGTTGGACACGATGCGGAACAATGCAACCAGGTGAGGTGTAGGAGTTGCGGCAAGCTTGGACATATTACGAGGGACTGCAAGAAGCCCAGAATATGTCACTTATGTGACTCGGAAGCGCACATGGCGAGAGATTGTACTAAGCCACGGCCTTATTCAGCCGTGGTAAAGACTGGACTTATTGGGGAAGAACGTAGCGAAGAGGAAATAGACTCTGGTGTAGGAGCAAGGCCCCAGGAGCCGCTACCAGCTGCTGGAAATCAGGCTAACGAGGACAAAGTGGAAGGTGTGGAGGAGGGGACGGAGCGACGTGAGGAGAAGGGAGAGAGGAATCTTGAGCAAGATGGTGAGAAAGTACAGCAGGGGGAGGAACCCCAAAAACGTTGGGAAGTGGTCGGAAAACCACGGAGAAAGTCTGCTAAAAGGAGGAGAAAGGTGAGTCCAGCCGCTTTCTCTGAAGATGGTAAGCTAAGAGATCAAGATATTAGGGAGGTGGTTTTGGAGGAATGTGGAAATGTGGAGGGGTATGTGTTGAGGGGAACACAGACTGAGTGCATGAATACCCCCCTAAGTGATGTGACAAGCGATGGAGATATGGAGGAGGAAGACGACAGCGAAGAAAAGTCCGAGGACTCTTTCATAAAAGACCTTTTGTTACATGTCAATATGGATAGTTAGAGAATCCAAGACAGCAGGTAAAATATACCAAGAGACTCATTGTTTTTTTTTGGGTTTTTTTCTTTCTCTTTAGTATTATTATTATATTTTTTGCCCTTAGTGCTCCACTTGCTTTTTGTTTATGGTATGGGAAAACTACGGATAATTACCCTGAATGTTAGGGGGCTTAAAAGTGCCCGAAAGAGAAAAATTGTTTATGAATTTTTATTGAGCTACAATTTCGATGTTTGTTTGGTTCAGGAAGCTCATCTGAGAGATGAGAGGGATGTTGCTTTGTTTACTGAGGAATGGAGGGGAGGGGAAGCTACTTGGAGGGGGGGGGGGGTACATGGGACAGGAGTTGGGGTGTTATGTGGGGATAAGGATATTCGGATGATTGAGAGCTTTACTGTAATACAAGGAGGGGTAATCGTGGTGGATATTGATAAAAATGGGACTCAATGCCAGATAATAAACATATATGCACAGGTGGAGCACGGGCTACGTAAGGACCTTTTCCAAAAAATGGATACTTGTTTTTTGACTAGGAAAGATATTATTGTGGGAGGGGATTTTAATTGCTCTTTGGAAAGGGAAAAGTTTTCCCTCCCTTTTAGGACCTTCATTAAGAAATATGGATTAATTGACGTAATGGGGAAGTTACTGGGAAAGCAAGTGGGGTATACTTGGAAGAGCACAAGGGGGGTGAAGAGTAGGTTAGATTACATTTTAGTAGCAAAAAAGTGCAAAATAATAGAGGGAAAAACAATTCCGGCCCTCTTCACAGACCATCAAGCAGTTGATGTGGAGCTCGAGATAGTAGGGCCAGACTTTGGAAAAGGGTATTGGAAGTTTAACAACGACGTCCTCGCAGAGAAAGCCTATAGGGAAGGCTTCATGAAAATCTTCCCGATGTGGGCTGAGATGAAAAGCTTATACAGTAACAACGTGGTTTGGTGGGAGGACATAAAGAAAAAAATCAAAAGGTTTACGGTCGAATATTGTACAGAGAGGTCAAAAGTCAGAAAAAAAGAGTTCGACACAATACAAAAAGAAATAGAAAAAATCTATGTTATGGAAAATAGGGGAAGGGAAATTAAAAAGGAGACAGGAGGAATTACTTGAGAGGAAAGCGAGGGCCGTAATATATAAATTAAAACAGGAAGAGTATGAGGAGAA